AAACCGCTGAGGTCAAGAAGCTGTTCAAATGAGGCCATTTCAGCCGTTTTCACGACGGATATCAGACGAATCTAGCCAAATCTTTTACTACAGCTATTTTCATAACGTAATTTTATTCTTATGCTTGAGTAAAAAGTAACGACTGATAATTTGATAAATAAGGTCAATAAGCAACTAGCGCAACCTAAGCTAAAAACAATTAAGAATCAACTATGAACCAAATTTGACCAAATCCCAACAAATATCAGTTAATGTGTGTCAGATAACCGTCGTGAAAACGGCTATTGTAAGTATATGATTCAGTTCAGCAGGGTTCCCTGAGTTCACTGGTGGCTTGTTCGACTCGTTAGATAAATTCCATTCAGTCATTGACAAAAAGAAAACCGATGACCTCACACGACCGTACAATGTAACGGCATATACGGCGCATTGCAAGGTCCTCAATCCAAAACCTAAGAATCGCTCATCGCAAAAGTGTATGAAATCACGATTACAGGCGTTTGAGATGGGCTTGGATCATTTTCGGCATCCAAATAACAGTTCAAATGTTTCAATATTTCCCATTGACTTATATTAGTGAAGTCACGTGACCAGCTTGACTTCGGGTGAAAATTTAGGAAAGTTAGGGGAATTGATGTTGTGAAATCTGAAGAGCCGTTACTGCCGTTACTTGTGTCATCCCCTGCAAAAGGTTCCCTTACACTGAGAGTACAGTGCAAAGCTGCAACTTTTTGCATTATTCCGAGGTTTATTTGTGACGTCGTATGTCAGTAAGCTGACCTGAGCCTGTTCTGTTGGTGTCAACAGATTCGGAATGTCAACTTTCAGCTCTCCAGCCTTACACCACTGCAAACAATATCGAGAAAACCGTTGGGGCTGCACATCAAACCCTCCCCTTCGGCCGGGTGGGAATAAAAATACTATGAAAGTGAATGTTAGTGAAACATGGAGCATCCCAAGCCACTAGCTACCTCGAAATGCATTAATTTCAAAACGTTAGAGATGCTTCCAGTTTCAAGAAAACAGAATTCAATATCGGCGAGTTTTCAAGTACTTACAATTTTGTCACCCCCGCCCACTCTGACCTGGTCACGCCCCTGGCAATTGCAATCAATTACCTTCAAATGCCGCATTTTGGTACTCATATAATTTTTTGTGGCAAATTTATTCATCAAAATTACTGAAAGTCCGTTATTACAAGGACAGAGCGAACATCATGCGATTACTAGCTAGAGCCTTCTCCTCATTTAACTCTAACACAGCCTCGGCTCTTATGAACGGAAGTTGTGTAGGTATGTCCGCCGTCCGGCCACAATGTCCGATTAGCAATTTTGATAATTCCTAACGTTTCATTGGCGGATCGAGCTGGACGTTTTTTTTTGGGGGGGGGGGGGGGGCAAATGGCCGAAATGGCCCCTTCCTTTCCATGCACCGCCATAGGCGCAATGTTAAAACTCGGGTTTTTGCGGGGGGGGGGGGGGTAAACGGGCTTTGGGGGGAGCATGGCCCTACCCCCTGGATCCGCCAGTGTAACGTTTCACCAGTGCAAGCTGCTTAGAAGCATATCAGAATTACATGCGAGGCGGCCGATATCAGTGTTCAGCTCATTTTTTTTTTTGCCTGAACAATGTTCGAAACTACAGCGAAAGTGAAGCAAACATCATTCAATAATCACATGCCTGGTCTGTGAGTGTGAGTGCCAGGCTTTTATTTCTAATTTTCATGAAACAGTTCGAGGATATGTGGGTAGGAGAATGATTGGCTCTGGAAGGCATCACCAAATGTTCCCTTTTGCTACAAACATTGTCGTAAACAAAAAATTATATAAAAAGTTAAAGGCAAAACATGTCTCTAATTTTTTGGACATTAAATTTCCATATCCAGAGGCATCTTTTGGCATAATATTTTTGTCAAAAATTAAATGGCCACCTTTTGAAAATCGAAAATCAAAAATTCATTATTTCAAAAAATCTTGCGATTTTGAAAATTTTCAAAATATTTTGGTTGGATAATTTTCTACTGTCAATGAGGATTCCAATGATATGCATATTAATGTAGGTTACTGGCTATATTTTTTGATAATACGAGTTTAAAAGAGGGTTACTCTGGGCATTTTGAAAAATGCCTCTGGCTATAACTCGTAAACCCTTCGTAGTATAACGCTAAAAATAAGAGATTATGAATCTACGGTACGGATAACCCCGTAGACGCAATTTCATCAAAATCTGAGAGGTAGGGTGTTATGGCTTGGTCGATCTGTCGTGGAACGCCCCAGTTGCCCTCGAGGCGCTGCTAGCAACTTTCAATTCGCTGTGGGAGACTGGCACTTTCCCTGAGACCTGGCGGGAAGCCACTATCATTCCTATCTTGAAGGCTGGCAAGTCGGGACATGACCCTCTCCACTATCGGCCCATCTCTCTCACATCATCGCTTTCAAAGCTGATGGAGAAGATGGTCAATGTGCGTCTTAGCTGGTTTCTGGAACATCACGGTGTTTTTACAAACGCCCAGTGCGGTTTTAGAAAGCACCGCAGCCCTGTTGACCACATTTTAGCCCTCGACACCGAGATACGCACCTGTTTTACTGAAAAGAAGCACCTTGGAGCACTGTTCTTTGATATTGAGGCGGGCTATGATACAGTGTTACGACACAGAATACTTTCCAAAGTACATAAGTACGGCATACGTGGCCGAATGGGTCTCTTTATCAAGAACTTTTTATCGGGTCGTCGGTTCAAAGTCCGTGTTGGCAGCCGTCTTTCGAGCAGTTTTATTCAGGAGAACGGAGTTCCTCAGGGCGGAGTGCTCAGTGTGGCGCTGTTCGCTGTGGCGATCAATGACATTGGCGACAATCTCGCACCATCTATCGGCAAATCACTATTTGTCGATGATTTCGCAATCTGGTTTTCAGCTACGACCGCCCGTCACGTTGCCAGACAGTTGCAGCTCGCTGTAACCCGTCTGGAGAGGTGGAGCGACGACAACGGCCTTCGTTTTTCAACAACGAAGACCGTCGCTATGCACTTTTGCCGCCGCCGCTGTGACGACTTAGCCTTGGGAATCAAGCTCCATGGACAGGTGATTCCTACTCGGCCGGTGGCGAAGTTTCTTGGAATCTTTTTTGACAGTCGTTTGACGTATAGAGAACATTTTAGAACGCTTCGGGAACGATGTTTTAAATCCCTGAACGTTTTAAAATGTGTCGCCCGCACATCTTATGGTGCGGACCGCAGGACCCTTCTTCTTCTCTATCGATCGATTATACGATCGAAGCTGGATTACGCTTCCTTTGTCTATGATTCAGCGAGTGAATCCAGCAAGAAGGTCTTGGATACAGTCCATCATGCAGCACTCCGAATAGCCACCGGAGCATTCCGCACCTCGCCCAGGAGCAGCATTCTTGCTGAGGCGCACGAGCCGCCACTTTCTCTCCGCCGCCAGACGCTGGGGATGCGTTATGCTCTTAAACTACGTCAATTCCCGACGCATCCGACGTACCCGTACGTCTTTTCGCGTCACATTGCTTCATCTGGTAATGGGACGAGTCATCCATTCGGAGCACGCATGAGAGGTTTATTCTCTACATCGAATATAGACTTGCGCGGCGTTCGGCGTATCTGGGGAACGCCTTCTCCACCCTGGAGAAACGCCCCGCCGCAGGTAGACCTCTCGCTTTCCGAAGTAAAAAAGGATAGCCTGCTGTCCTATGAAGCACAAACCAGAGCCTTGGAGCATATAGCCTCGTATGATGGTTTTATTTCAGTCTACACAGACGGCTCAAAAACATCCGAGGGAGCGGGTTGCTCTTTTGTCGCTGGTCGGGACACCCGCTCGTTTTCCCTTCCACCCAGCGCCTCGGTGTTTTCCTCAGAGCTAGTCGCCATCGAAAAGGCTCTGTGTTTTATTGAGGTGTCCGACGGTTTTTTCTATTTGATTTTATCAGACTCACTAAGCAGTCTGTTGGCTTTACGACGGTTTAATCCTGACGACCCGATCATTCAGGACATTTTAACTCGGCTAACTTCGGTGGAACAGTCCGGAAAAACTATCCGGTTTTGCTGGATTCCCAGTCATGTTGGAATCCAAGGCAACGAGCTTGCTGACGCCGCCGCGAGACGCGCCGCCGCAGCGCCCTACACTCGGCGATTTCCTCTGCCTGCCCGGGATTACTATCCCGTCGTACGATCTTCCATGCTCTCGCAGTGGCAAGCAGAGTGGGACTCGCGCGCGAGCAGTAAGCTGAGAGATATCAAGCCAACTCTCGAGCCTTGGTCGTCATCCATGCAAAGTAACAGACATAACGAAGTCGTCTTATGTAGGCTGCGCATCGGCCATACGTATGCCACGCATGGTCATCTCCTCCGCGGAGAAGAGCAGCCCACCTGTCGCAGGTGTACCGTGCCTCTCACTGTCTCTCACGTGCTTTTATCTTGTCCTCTCGCTGAACCGAACCGGACACGCTACCTCGGGCGCATCGCTCCGGGTACCACTATCCGCCGCTTACTGGGTGACGAGTCACCCTGGGTTTTATCCGGCAGCATCTTTTCTTTTATCCGTTCGATCAACTTCCAAGTGATTTACTCGACCTGACCCCAATCCAACTAGCCCTCTCTAGTCCTTTCATCTAGTCAGTTGTCTAGGACGACACCTTTGCGCTGTTTTATCTTACCTTGCTATTTTATATCGAGTCTTACTTTCTAGTCTTAGTATCTAGAAGGTTCTTTCTTGTGGCACACTTGTTTTATTAGTACGACGTTATGGGCGCAAAATGACCTTAGCAGTCGGCGCGCCCTAAAGCCCCAATCAACAAACAACAAAGGATCGGCGCCGTTTTGTCACAGCCCATGAGTGGTCGGAGCGGGACAGCCGGTCAGCTGGTCACACAACCCAGGGATCGGCGCCGGCCGCCCAGCCCAGGAGCAGCGGCCGTCGCCTGTCGCCCAGGGGCAGCGGTCGCCGCCGGACGCCCAGGGGCAGCGGTCGTCGCCGTTTGTACTCACAGCCCTCCATCCTGGCCATATTGGTCTTCCGGCTGTCCAGCACCGTCTGCAACTCCGACAGGAAGCCCTTCACGCCGTTACCCTTCTTCCGTCCCTTGCCAGCGTCGGTCAAATGCGTCGTCAGCAGAAGGCCTGAAGAGAGTGTGTAATAATGGACACGACGAATGTTACGTTTGAATTTTATAGGTGTTGGCATTCCCACAAGTATCCTTGTATGGTCGTGAGTTGACACAATAAGCTCGATCATTTAAAAAAAAAAATCAATTTTGCACAACCGTGCAACGCCCAGCCCTAAGTCTGTTCTTACCTAACTTATTCGTACTTCGTCACTAAAAAAGATCTAGCCATTTCAGTTACAGGCCTAATATTTATCTAGCCATTACTTTATCCCGCACTCCAATTGTCACAGCACGGCTCCACCACGTCTGCCCACAGTGGCGAAACTCACAGCAGTAGAGGATCCACAGCTGACCGCCGGCAGCCATGGCTCCGCCTGTCCGACTCCGGACACAGCCGATCTCCTGTCAAATTAGGGCGGCGGGCACAGTGTCAGACAGACGCTCACTTGTTCTCTCAGTGAACACTCAGATAGTGAACACTCACTGAACACTCAGACGCCCACTTTAGACGTCAGACACTTCAGACGTCAGGCACTCACCGAACCGATGCACAGTTCAGTCGTCAGACACTCTCTTCAGACGTCACTCACTTTAGACGTCAGGCACTTTAGACGCCAGACGCTTTAGACATCAGACACTCGTTTCAGACGTCAGAACACACTTCAGACTTGAGACACTCACTACAGACGTTAGACGGAACTTCAGATGTCAGCAAAACTTGTTCCCTTTCAGCCTCCCCTTTAACCTGTATCTGGCTGAGCACTGAGCGCACGTCCGTCGTTTAACCAGCCGTGTCTGTCACTGCGCGTGTGAGTCTGGTGCCCTCCGATGGTGCACGCCACGTGACATTCAGTGCGTCACCGACTGGTCTGCACCCCCTCCCTCCTGTCACCAGCCGCCTGTCACTCCCCCCCCCCTCCTCCCGCTACACACACGTACTATTGCTTCCAAATTAAGCTCGATAGGCACCTCGCTCTATATCCGTGCTGAATACCCTCCCAAATCCCTCACGTAGCCGTCCCGGTGAGGTGCGTGCCAAACTGAAACGGTGCGTGGACCCTGTGACATACCGAGTTAGACCGCGCCTGGGGCAGGGACACGGGTGTGACCTGTGATTATGGTGGACACACGTATGAGCGTGACATATAACTGGGTCACATTCTATTCAATCGGGGACGATGAGAGCGGACACAGTGGTCGGGCCGATGCACACTGGTCGGAAACGCTCCAGCGAGAGGCCAGCGGCCTTTCCGCAAAAGTTTTTTGCTTGTTATTCCACAACTAGTGAAGCAAACTCCATAAAACTTTGCATACCTTCTCTGTCATATGTAAGCTATCATTTGGATGTCAAGCACTAAATATATGACGTGAATCTGTTAAGTTATGACGTCATAATTGAGTATAATACAGGATCTAGCACCACTTTAAGTGAACAAGGGAAATTGGAAGCTGCTATTCGGGCACCGGGAATGGTTTCATGCACTCCTTGCAAGGTCGCAAGGTCCGGTGCTTCACTTCAGCATTGTTGACTTTGCGTGACGTCATTTATGACGTCACTAAGGCCATATAAGTTTTTTCGTCAATAACTCCTGATCAGATGGAGCTAGAGAGTCGGGAAAGCCACCATTGGACTCGGGAAGACCTGCCGAATCGAGTGATATGCGATATATCCTCCTTCAACCATTTTCGTGACCTGAGGGGCTCCGACCTGACCTTGACCCGAGGTTAACGCCTTAACCCTCGCCGGCCGAGGGGGGGGGGCGGGTGCCGCCCCCCCCCCCATAGGGTTTTTTTTTCGCGATAGCTCCGAACACGCTGGCGATAGAGAGCTGAAACTTGGCATACCTGACCTTTGATCCAAGCCGGATCTTTTGACACCAACCGCATTTTTGGGTCAGGTCAGGTCACTGACCTATGACGTCATAAGTGAACCTCTGCACGGTCTTCAGATGTCGCAACTTCGCAACGCCCTCACTGCCAGAGGAGATGTCACAGGGAAATGAAACTTGCAGGATCTAGTATCCATTATGAGTCCCACAACTTGTATATCTCGGATTTTTCCTAAAGGTCATATGAGGTCAGGTCATTTTCGTGACCTCACCATTATAAGGCAATGGGGAAAAATGAAAACTGCTATTCTGGCGCCGGGAACGATCTCCAACTATCTCAAGCACACAGAATCGTGATTTGATTCACTCCTTGCAAGGTTAGATGCGTCACTTTTGCAATGTTAACCTTTCGTGACGTCATGTATGACGTCATCAAGGTCATATTAGTTTTTCGTCAATAACTCTTAATCAAATTGAGCTAGCGAGTCAGGAAAGCCACCAATGGACTCAGGAAGGCCTGCCAAATCGAATGATATGCGACATGACCTCTTCCGACCAACTTCGTGACCTGGGGGTGCTGACCTGACCTTGACCTGAGGTCAACACCCTAAGTTGACCTGACCCGGACAAAAAGTATATCATTCGACGCGCCTGAACGAGGCGAACACGATGCTACCAAAATCGGCGCTCTGCGGCCGTTTTTTGCGAAGTTATTCACCAAAAACTGAACCGTACCTTGGGGCACTTGACCTGACCTCAGAGGTCACCGGTTGACCTAGGACCTTAAAATCGGGTACCAATCTCTGCGTCTCGTAACGGCGCACACGCTCGTTTTTTCCGCGACGCGCTAGCTCCACCAGGGGCGAAACGGCGAGGGGGGGGTCGTACCCGCCCCCCCCCCCCCTCGGCCGGCGCGTATGTAGAAAACCAATAGGTCCGGCGAGGGTTAAGTTGACTTCACCCAAACACCAAGTATAGCATTCGACGCTCCTGAGCTAGACAAGCACGATGATGCCAAAATGGCGGCAGTGCGACCATTTTTGGCAAAGTAATTAACCAAAAACCGAGCCCGTGCCTTGTGGCACTTACCTGACCTAAGAGGTCACTGGCTGACCTAAGACCTTAAATCGGGTAGTACTTGCTGCGTCTTATAACGGCACACAAGCTCGTTTTTTTCCGCGAGGCTCTAGCTCAATTAGAGGCGAAACGGCGAGGGAGTTGTATCAACCCTCCGCGGTCAATATAGAAAACCAATCGGTCCGGCCAGGGCTAAATACCGGAATTGTGATTTAATGTAAAAAGACGGCCCAAGGTAACCTGACGCCAGTGACAGGTGTCCTATATTCGCAGCGTCTTATATTCACGAAGGTCTCAATTTCCACTTTCTTAAGCCGAGTGATGGTTACTAATAGCAAGGCTCTCTAAATGCAAGCCGTAATCGCCACGCAATATGTGGAAGGCTTTTGATGTCAATACAAACATAAATGCAATAATAAAACCATATTGTATGCGCTTTCCACAAAATTCATAAACTCAAGCGCGTCTGTTTTTAATGACCAGTCAACTACGCATGGATGCGTGCAGGCCACACAGGTCAGCGTAAGCCGGGCGCGGCGGCCGAGCCGAAACTGGGGCGGGGCGGGCGGTAGTTGGGTAGGAATAGCGGCTCCTGCAAATTTTGCGCAAATATGCGCAGTTAGCTTTTATGTTGCCCTGGTGTAAATTTAAATCCTGCTTCATCTCACAAAAAATCAGAGTGGGACTAGATGGGACTACCTGTTGTTTCCTTACCTAAACTTTGCAGTTATATTCCAGAATCACTCTAGGAGAGCCCTCATAAAAAAGCTACAGTAGATCTTAGCTGGGGAAAAAGTATACCAAAAAATTTGCACTGACCAGTCGGCAACTTCATAACAAACATTTTGATGCATAATATGTGGGATTTCAATTTGGTGTCTATCAGCAATAAGACTCTGAATATCCGGCTCAAGAAACCTCTTGCTCCGCGTCAGTTTCCGAGTTCTGGGATACCCCATCTTCGGGGGCTGATTACAGTTATTTTTGGTCACCCGGATTAGTTTTTTTGGCCTAATTATAATAATTTGATCAATTTCAAATCGATCTATATAAAAAATAATCCGAAACTCCGGAATCGCCCGTGGCCTCTCGTGAGGGCGTTTCCGACCAGTGTGCGATGGGCCCGGTGGGGAGATTGGTTGGGCGTGTTGTGGGCGACAAAATATTGAGTAGGTACGCTTGATAGGTAATAGAGTGCTACACGGACTTTCACTGACACTTGTCATTTGTCACATTTTCTGAAGCGGGAAATCCATTTATGTCTTAGCCCTCGCCGGCTTAGGGGGCTGGGGGGGGGGGGGGTACTTCTCCAGACGACTTTTTCCGATCGCACGGAGTGTGCAGAGTCAGACCATAGATAACTGAAGGTTGACATAGCTTAAGCTGAAAGTTGCTTTGTGACCCCAGCCATATTTCTAGGTCAGGTCGTTTACCTCTCACGTCAAAACTGAACCTCTGCATGGTCCCAAACTGTCGTAACTTCGTTGCTTCCTCAGTTCCAGGATATCCTTCACATGGAAATCAAGATGAAACCTTCGAGTTTGTACGACTATAGTGTTTGGTGGAGACAAGGTTTTAAGCGAGGATGAATGCCTACCCGAAGGTAAACATTAAAAGGACATTCATGGAAAATAGTTAAATGCTTTTTTGTAACAAAGTCGCCGAGATAACCGAGATAAGTGCATTACGATATATTTACGGAGCGAGCGAAGCGAGCGTAGTCTTTCCTTAGATTAACGGAAATTTCTGAGTATGAGCGGCCGGCCGGCCGGCCGGCCGTGGTCACGCTTTTGCGAGGCTTATATCTCAGCAACCACTTGACCGATTTACACGCGGTAATTTTTGTAGGGTAGCTTCATTCCTGCTACCAAGTATTGGACTATTCCCGATGCATGTGGGTGACCCCTTATGCACGTGCCACGTGCAAAACGAAGAGGTGTCAGTTTTGTAATTGTTGCAATATCTCGGTAACTACTTGGCCGATTGCGCTGAAAGTTGGCATGTAGGTAGGCACCCAGTAGGGACTGCATATCCATGTGCCAGAGTTGGGGTGCTGCTGCACGTGCGCACGTGCAGGGGTCGTTTCCAGATCTCGGGAACGGCTGGACCGATTGCGCTCAAATTTGGTACACGGATAGGGACCGGTTAGTAGGGTGCCGTGCACAAGTCAGTTGGAACCCATTTTGCACGTGCGCACGTGCAGGGTGCCGCTTCCAGATCTCGAGAACGGCTGGGCCGATTGTGCCCAAATTTGGCACATTGCTAGAGACCAGTTAGTAGGGTGCCGTGCACAAGTCAGTTGGAGGTACCCCCTCGCAATTTCGCACGTGCAAGGCCCACCCTCTCGCTCGCTCCGTTAGTCGCCCCAAAAGGCGTTATACTGGTTTATATTGATAACGTTTGTTGTCCAAGTAGAAACAGCTTATAAAATTTTGAGCTGGTCACTCTGCCCCGTCCACTTTGCCCCACGCGTACCGTCCGAGAGCAAAATATTTC